CCAATAGGATTTAATCTTAACTACATTTTCTTTGATTGCATTTGCAAGTAATGTCACATTCTGAGGTTCTGGGGTTCATACTTAAACATGTGGGTTGGGGAGCATAATTCAGCCCATCAAAACAGGCCTGGTGGAGGAGGACAAAATGCTCTTATTTCAAACGGGCATATTTCAAAATGGCTGCTCCTCCCCTGCCCGTGAAGAAAGCATGGGGCGGGGGCTGTAAACTTCACATGGAGAACCCGGGGTCCCTCCCGGATGCAAACCCCACGAGTGTGGGAGCACTCCTAGGACTGGGACCTTCTGGAGTTTTTAACTGCCAAACTTGTCCACAAAGAACCCCCGGCAACTTTTCAGCTTCAGTTTTAAATTTTCCTACCCCAGTCTGGCTCCAGCAGCTGCAGTATCTGCTCTTGGGCTTCTGCTCCCGAAAGCTATGCTGCTGTCTATCCCCTCAGTGCCTCTCTGGGGGGGAGTGGTTTTTGCCCTTGCCTTTGATTCTAAGATGGAACTAAGAAGGGCTGATGCTTTTTCAGCATTTTTTCAGTTGTGAGCAAGGGATGAATTCTAAGGCATTTACGTGCCAGACCAGAAAGCAGTTGTATGTGGTCATCCATACTATACTGTACTGTACTGTACTATACTATACTATTCTATACTATACTGTATAGATGTACAGTAGCCTACCCCAGCATCCATCCCAAAACTATTTCTGGAAAATATTTAGTTTAAAGAATGTCTCCATAGTGGGATCACAGCACTTGTCTTGGATTTCTTCCATCCGATCTGTCACTTTTGAGAGAGAATGGTTGGAAGTGCACTAGTGTAGGTGTTATGCTGAGTTGCCAGTGCCTGCACCTTCCAGTTTTTCTTTAACTTGGGCCAAGCGGCCCTTGTTAGTGAGATGACAAGATTTTAGTGACAAAGAGAACTTTACATTAGGAAGAATATATGACTGCAGAATTATTATCTACTAATCATGATACTTTGGAAAATTGTTTTAGTTACCCTATGGGTGTTTTTGTTTTTAGTACTGGTAATTGAATCCTGAGCTACAGCCCAAGCCCCTTTGTGGATTTTTAAACGGAGTCTGTGCAGCTTCAGAATGATCCAAATATTATCTGCCGATATAACTGTGGAGCTAAATAATTCTTCCTGTCTCTAAAATCATTAAGCTGACTCTTTCTTTCTCTCTCTTTTTCTCTTTCTTTCTCCCCTCCTTCCCTCCTTTTTTCTTCTCTTTTCTTTTCTTTCCTCATGCTTGCCCACCACTGAGCTATATCTCTGGCCCAAGCTCTTCTTTCTGTTAGCTTATAAAGTCCATTCTTCCTGTCCATACAGGAGAACAATCAAAATACTTTTTCATGAGTATCAGAGGAGTAACAAAAATTTTATTAAGATTTGAAGTACAAGGGCTGGGGATTTAGCTCAGTGGTTCTGGCTCCTGTCTCGCAGGCACAAGGTCCCAAGTTCAATCCCCGGTACCAGAAAAAAAAGATTTGAAGTACATTCTGGCACTTGGTTAATCAAACTAGGAAAATGGAAAGTGACCAATTCCCCAAAGCCAGCTATCTTAGGTCGGCTATTACATCAGTTTGGTGTCAGAATCTTTGCTGTCGCACGGAATGGTGTGCTTGTCTACTTTGGCCTTTGCCTCATAAAAACTTGTAAGGGACTACAGCTGTTCCTAGCTGAGGGACTCTCAGCAGGGTTGTCATGAACAGCAAGGAACTAAAGGATGTCACTGGATTCCTTCTTGCCAAAGGACAGGTTTCTGCCTCTCAGTTGTTGTCAAGTTGTAGGCATTATTTTTATTATTTTATAGTTTAGATGTTGTCTTTGCTACCAGTAATTACCACATTTATAGCATTTTTCACACAGATTGTACATTTTACCCATTTGGCACATGATGACATTGTGGTGTCTCTAACAGAGAATGTGTGTAAAAAGCTGAAAAGTTCAGCCAAAAGGCCTGTGAACCATCTTGTTTGAATGAAAGCTACAGAAAAAGCAGTTTTCTTTACTCTCATGCCTTGTGATATAGCCGAGTTCTCAATCTGAATGTCCTGAACGTGCCAGGCGTGGTGGCACACACCCATAATCCTAGGTATTTGGGAGGCCAAGGCAGGAAGATTGCAAGTTAAAATCCAGTCTGGGGAATTTAGCAACCTACCGAGACCCTGTCTCAAAATAAAAAATAAAAAGGGCTGGGGATGCAGTTTAGTGCTCATTGGGTTCAAACTCCAGTCCTGAGAATAAGAAAGTACTGTACTAAATAGCCATATGCCACTATCTCCAAGGACTAGATATAAGGGAATGAGCAGAGAATTGAAGTGAACAGAATTTAGGCTAAGCCAAAGTGGTTCTGAGTTGTCACAGTAGGTACTGAGAAAAACTGGTAAATCATCTTCCTTAGAGATATAGAAGAATACCTAGGCTGGCCTACTTGTGTGTAGTTTTTAGAGAAAGGAGGAGAAACTAGACCAGCCTCTTTTTATTCCACAACAACATTTTTTTAATTTATCAAATGAAATATTAAGTCAGATTTGAATTTTAAAATCATTTTAATATACGTTTTTCAAAACTGATTATATATTTTTATTCTTCCCCAGAAATGGTACAGTGTACAAGGTTATAATTTAAAATGAATTTCACACCCTGATTAACAGTGGAAATATTTCTCCAACCTGAATTTTAGAGTATGTGGGGATGTAAGCATGTGCTACAAGGTACACATATACCTTCTGTTAAAACTGATAAAAGAAAGCATATGTATACTTTGTGAAATTCTCCCTTTTACATACATTTGAATGTTTATACCCTTTTAACTGATGCTAGTATTAAAATAAATTCCCAAAAGAGTAGATAAGGTATAGGTCTAAAAGACATAATTTTGACAGCTGTTAATATTACCGTTGAGTATGTCACACAGGTAGTTAATAGAAGACTAATAGAAATAGCTTTAGAAAATGCATACAACAAACTATGTTTATGTGCAGGACTGATAAGCAACAGTCAGAAATGGATGTAAATTCATTAATGGTACAGCTTATTAAAGTTTTGATTATGTTAATGTTTCCTGATCATTTCCCATCAGACACATGATTTTCCTCATAAATTAATACATCAAAATCTATTTATTTGGGTGATTTTCTTAGTTTGATGCATATTCACATCTTCAGTTCTTATAAACGGTTTTGTCAATAAATGTTCTGGGAAGAATTAAGTACTGTGATTCTTTGGCAGATGCCTATATCTAGTCTTAATTTGCTCTGTGGTCTGACATTTATAAGGCATACAGTACCAGAAGTCTGATAGATAAAATACAACATCAACAGCTTGGTGTGAAAATCTGGAAAGTACACTGGCTAGTATGGAGGCACAATGGTTAACATTCTCATTTTATTTTTATTTTTATTTTTATTTTTATTTTTTTTGGTACTGGGGATCGAACTCTCGGGTCCTTGCGCTTGCGCAGCAGGCGGCAAAACCACTGAGCTAAATCCCCGGCCCAACATTCTCATTTTCTTTTATCTAATAGTGTTCTCTTAAGACTCAACCTTGTCCCTCTGAGACAATATAAGAAAAACTAAACTATTTTGGTTACCAAAATGTGTGTGAGGATTTTCCTCATTTGGCAATCAATTCCTTGGTGGACACCAACTGGGTGTCCTATGGTGTAACTCCATTCTGACACCATCTACCTATGGTTAGTGTCATATTCCACATCAAGGACATTTCAGAGGATACACAAGGACAGGTAGATGTCAGAGATGCATAGTGCAAGGTATATAGCAAGGGCTGGGAACTTGCATGTCCTCTCAGTACTACCCTCCAGGGACTTCCACCTGTTCAGCAATCTGGAGGGTCTCCAAACCCTTTCCCTTTTGGGTTTTTGTGGAGGTTTATTATGGATCCATGACTGACTACCTCATTGGCCAGAGGTGATCAACTTTTAGCCCCTCTCCTTCCTTGGAGATTGGTGGAAGTGGAACTGAAAATTCCAACCCTCTAATCACACTGTTTCTCTAGCAACCAGCCCCCCATCTAGAGGGTACCCTGGAGCCTGCTGTGTGACATACTCTCCACTAACATTAATGGTTGCAAAATTATGTCTTTTAGACCTATACCTTATCTATGCTTTTGGGAATTTATTTTAATACTAGCATCAATTATAAGGATATAAACATTCAAATGTATGTAAAAGGGAGAATTTCAAAAAGCATACATATGCTTTCTTTTGTCAGTTCTAACAGAAGGTGTGTGTGTACCTTGAAGCACATGCATACATCCCCACCTACCCAGCCACTAGTCATTTCACTACCAGAAAATACTTGCCACGTTGGAGAATCCAAGGGATTTGGGATCCATGTGCCAGGAACCAGGGGCAGAGCACCACGTGCCAGGCACTAGTTGACTTTGAAAATTCATAAGTGATGGAGCCGGGGATTTAGCTCAGTGGTTCCACCACCTGCCTCACAAATGCAAGGTCCTGAGTTTGATCCCCAGTACCCCTCAAAAAAGAAAAACATCATAAGTGAGAAGGCCACTGGGTACCTGCACTCACTGAGTTTTATAGTCTTTCAGAGAAGACATAATTAAAGAAATAATACAATGTGATGTGATTGTTGCTATAAGGGAAGGATGGTAGGGATGGTTTTTGAGCCTGGAAGATGGTTAGTTATGTATAGTTACTTATGGGTCAAATTGTTTAGACTGACTTTGGTCTTGTTTCTTCTAGAGAAAAGCAAACTTTTGGTATGATTTAGGAGGGTCTCAAATGAATACCATTTTTGTAATTATTCAGTGTAAACTTAGAAATATTTCTATTTAGAATGCTGGTGTACCATATAGTTTACCTGAATAGCCCAAGTAACACTGAGACTTAACATTCACAGTTTAGTCTTAGTTTTAATGTAATATATTTGTGACTTGTACTCTTGAATTACAGGTTTGATTGAATAATGATACAATTTAGGACTCTTGTCTTTTGTTTTCAGGGAAGGTATTCATGTAAATCAAGAATCACTGCAGATATCTCCCAGTATTACAGAGCAGTTCATTGAGCTGTTATGTCAGTTCAATCCAAACCAAGTTATAGACACACTGCAAGTCCTTGAGTGCTATCGACTAGAAGAAACTATTCAGGTAAGGCCATTAGTGTACAAAAGACAAAAAAAGTGAACTTTTGCTAAACAGTCTCCATTTTCCAGGCGAGCAAAGGAAGACTCAAGGTTACTTGCAGATGTTGATAGCTAGTCAGTGGTCGTGTCAGAGGTGGAACCCAATACTCTGACTCCATAGTGGATGCAGTAATTGCTGATAAACTTGTCACTAGACAAGTTCCAAGGAGGTCCTCCAAAGAGAAGATGGGACCTCAGCTCAGCACACTGAGTAGGCTCTTGAATCTTGTCAAGGAAAAAAAATGTCAGGATGTGTCAGTATAAAGCATGAGCAGATTTATTAGGCAGAGTTAGAAAGTAAGGGAGAGGGGCCAGGGATGTAGCTCAGTGTTTCCACCGCCTGCCTCACAAGTACAAGGTCCCGAGTTCGATCCCCAGAACAAAAAAAAGAAAGTAAGGGAGAAAAGGAAAGGACTGGCTGGAACAGCTAGAGGGTGCTCACTCTGATGAAGAGGTTTGGACTCACTTGATTACCAAAAAAAATGAGGCCACCTTTTATGGATTGGCTGAGATGGACTAAGATCTGACCAGTCATTATCTTGGTTCTAGCTTCATACCCCTGGAGGTATCCTATGGCTTGAGGGGCAGTTTGGTTCCCCTTAGCTGATTGTTCTTGCTTGGGAGAGGGAAGCCTCAGGTCCTGTCATGGGGTAATTGTTCCCACTTGGGGAGGTCACCCCACCATGGGGTCATCCTCTAGGCTTGTTTGTTTCTGGAATCTGAGGTTACTGTAGGTTTAGGACAATTTCTAAGCATGCTCTAGGGGTCTGGACATTGTAAAAGCTGACAGTTGAATGTCCTGAAAATCCAAAAAATCCAAAAGATTAAATTAATTATCTTTTCTTGGTGTCCTCAGTCTTGAAGGGGAATGAGATAGAGTAGGTAAATTTAAGGCTAATAACCCTTGTAATACACACTCCTAAGTGCTTAACATGCCTAGATCCAGAGCTGAGCAGGATCTAACCTAAAGTTTTGAGGTAATAAAAGAGACAAAAAAAGGCAGAAAGGCAGAGACACCAAGTTCATCCATTTTCAGTTACCCATTGGGCACTTGCAGGTCCAGCCTCTAGGTCCCTATAAAAATCTCCCCTTGTCTTAGTTCATTCCTCAGTCTGAAGGAATCCTTATGGCTTGGAGGGCAGTTGGGTTCCCATGAGATGATTGTTCTTGGTTGGGGGAAGGAAGCCTCAGTTCCTGTCCTGGTATAATCATTCCCTCATCCTGGGATGGCTTAGAAGGCTGTACAAGGAATTACAGGTTTAGGACAAGGCTGGAGACTTGTAAGCATCACCAAGGGCGTTCTGAAACTGAACACTGTTAAAGCTGGTAAATGGGTGTCTCTGCAAACCCTGAAAATTACTCTTATCTTGGTGTCCTCATTCTGGAAGGAGGATGAGTTATACTAGGTAAATTTAGGGCTGATAAAACTTATAACATGGAAACTGCTTAAATGATTAACAAGCCTACATCCAAAGCTGAGCTGGAATCTGACCCAAAGTTGTAAGGTAATAAGGAGTCAGTTTCTTTTTTTTTTTTTGATACCGGAGATTGAACTCAGGACCTTGCGCTTTCAAGGCAGGCGCCAGAACCACTGAGCTAAATCCCCAACCCTACAAGGTAATAAGGGAGACAAAACTTGAGTTTTCTTGTCTTCTTTCTGCCTGTCTTTGTTTTTTTTCCACTCTATCTCAAATTGTGGTTCTGCATTTATTGTGTTAAAGTTAGAAATAACACACATCCATTACTGTTAAGAGTCAGCCTTTGTCTAGAAATTCTAGACAATAGGCCGAGAAAAAGGAACTCAGTAAAAATATTCAAAGGCAAAGACCAAACTCTTGTTTGGAGACACTGATGATTGGATGGTCCTGGTTTGCCACAAAACTTAATAGGCAGGGGCAATCCAGTAGCGATTCTCTGGCCTTGTTCTGTCCTGTTTCCAAATGAAGGTGCGAGAGAGTGTGTGTGAGTGTACACACACTTATATAAACATAGTCCACTGTAAGAGGTAGGAATGTTCCCCATTTAAAGTTTATCTTAAAGATATCTTTCTGTCTCCTTTTTTGGCTAATAACTAAAGTAACCTTTATTGTCTGCCATCTACCTCTTGAATTGCCCATGTACTTTTTAAATGATTAATTATGAATCATTTTAAATATTTAGAAATATATAGAGTATTAAATACATATGTACCTACCAACATTGACGTGTTGCCATGCTGGCTTCATGAATCTTGGTTATCTTGTTTGTTTATTTGTTTGTTTTAAAAATAAAGCACCCTTGGTTAGGTGTGGTAGTGCCTACCTGTTATCCGAGCTACTCAGGAGGCTGAACCAGGAGGATCACAAGTTTAAGGCCAGCCTAAGCAACATAAGGAGACCCTGTTTCAAGATTTAAAAAAAAAATTGAAAGGGTTGGATGTAGCTTAGTACTCCCTAGGTTCAATCCGTGTTACCACAATCAAACAAAGCACACCTCATCTTCCCCTTTCTCCTCAGAGGTTACCACCAGCGTAAAGCTGATGTTTATCATTTCAATCCATGATATTAATTTTTCCTATATATGTATATTCCTGTAAAATACATGGGATAGGGCTGGAGATGTAGCTTAGTGGAAGAACATTTGCCTAGCATTTGTGAGGCCCTGGGTTCAATCCTTGGTACCACCAGGGGAAAAAAAGCCATGATACCTTTTTAAAAAAATTTATGTCAGTATTATTTTGCTTTCATCACTGCTTTTTAAAATTAATTAAATTTTTTTTTTTTTTTGGTACCGGGGATTGAACTCAGGTCCTTGCGCTTGCGGCAGTGAAACCACTGAGCTAAATCCCCAGCCCTTTAAAATTAATTTTTATACATGCAGTTCTCCTTTATTCACCTTAATAGCCATCTAGTAGTATATTAAACATAGATGCCAGTGTGTTTCTCTATTGATATTTACAATGTTCCCGGTCTTTTACTATCTTAAACAGTGCAACAATGCACATGCTTGCATGTATCTTTTTTTTTTTCTTGAGCATGTCTTCTTGTGTGCCCATATGAGGTTTCTCTAAGTGCTATACCTAGAAATGAGATTGTACATAGAGAATAGAGTAGCTTAATTCTACTAATACTGTATTGCCCTGTTGATTTCCTAAATGTTTTCCTCAGCAGCATTTGAGATTTGCTGTTTTCCCACATCTTGATATTTCTAATTTTTGCCACAGTGATCAGTGTCATTGATTTCTCATGACCTTGACCATCTTTCCATATGTTTAATGATTGATTGGATTATCTGTTCGTATAATTTGCCTGTTTTTCTATTGCCTGTATTCCCCTCTGAGTTCTAGTTCTTTCTAATTTCTGTTCTTTCGTCTTTGATTTTACATGTGGGGACATGCCTTCTTCCAATCTATCCTGGCCTATCTTTTAGCTTGAATTTTAGGGACTTCTTTTTAATTAGTAGTTTCTTGTAAGGTTTAAATTTGTGCATATGTCTTATTTCCATTCCTGTTTTGATGGCACAGAGGATGTCTCTTAATGTAAGTTTTATAGTTTAGCTTTTTGCATTTTAGGCTTTTAATTCATTTGGAATTTATTTTTATAGGTTGATCAAGAGAGAGAGGATTATATCATTTTCCCACATGATGACTAATGGTCTACATGACACTATATGATTTGTTTCTCACTGACGGGTTTTTTGGGGGTTTTTTGGTACCGGGGATCAAACTTGGGTCCTTGTGCTTGCGTAGCAGGCGGCAAAACCACTGAGCTAAATCCCCAGCCCTCCTCACTGATGTTTTACATCATACTACAGTCTACCAAACTCACGAATATGCATGGATCTGTTCGTGGATTCTCTTTAGTTCCTTTAGTTCTTTGTCTTTCCTTATATTCATATCACATATTTTAGTTAATATAGTTTTACAGTAAGACTTATTCTTTTAAAAAAGCATCCCACACTCCTCATTTTTTGAACTACTGTGGCTACTTTTGACCGCTTACTATTCCACATCAATATAGGGATCACATTGTCAAGTACCTTTTTAAAAAAAATTCTTCTGCAATTTTGATTTTTAAAATACATTGAATTTACAGATTAATACGGAGAGAATTGACATCTCTATGGTATTGATTGTTCGCATTCAAAAATATATTTGCCTTTTAAAAATCTCTTTTATATCCTCTGATGAGGCTTCACAACTTTGCATGTATGAAAGGGGGTTCTGGGGAATTAACCCCGGTATACTCTACCACTACATTCTCAGCCCTTCATATTTTAAGACAAAGTCTCACTAAATTGGCCAGACTGTCCTTGAACTTGAAATCCTCCTGCCTCAGGTACCCAAGTAACTAGGATTACAGATATGAGCCACAGCTCCTAGCTCATAACTCTTATATAAGGTTCTTGCACATGTTTTCTTAAATTTGTTCCCAGATACTATATAGGTTTTGTTAACGTTGTGCAAAAAAATTTTTTTTTTTTTGTACCAGGGATTGAACTCAGGACCTTGCACTTGCAAGACAGGTGCCGGAACCACTGAGCTAAATCCCCTGTCCTGTGGAAAGAAATTTTTGAAAATGACACTTTTTATTCCTTGCTACTGCACTATTAGAATGTGACTAATTTTTTACTGTTATTTGGCAATTAGGCTGACTTCTTTTTTAGTTCAATTAGTTTTTATATATTTTATGAAAATAATATTTTCTATGAAAAATGGCAGTCATGTTTTTTTTATTCCAATCTTACATTTTTTTTTCTCTCATCAGATGTTTAGGTCCTCTAGGATATTGTTTTGAGTAGAAAGAGAATAGTGTGCCTTCTAGCCTTGTTCCTGATTTAAAAGGGAATGTTTCCAACACTTTACATTAAGTAGTTTTTATTGTAGAGTTGTTTTTTTTGTTTTGTTCTGTTTTTAGATACCAGGGATCAAACTCAGGACCTTGTGCCTGCAAGGCAGGCACATTGCGATGTTGTAGAGTTTTTTTG